TCTTCTTGGGTACAATTAGATTTGGAGGAAATAAAGATTAGTACATGGAACTGAACAAAAAACGGTAACCTTTTCTAACGCGTTTGTCATGCTTTACCCTTTTCAAGGGGCTTTCTAGAACCAGGCACACAGAGGGTTCTCAGGAAAGGTGCTGGAGTAAACTATTCCAGCACTCACTCTCATAATCTCGCCATAATATTCTCACCTCCTCATAATCACACCATGAGGCAACTGAATTGTAGAGAAGAGGAAACTGGGGCTCAGAGAGGAGGCAGGCGGTCCCATAGCTGATAGGTGCCAGGCTAAGTTGGAGCTCAAGTCTCAACTCTTGAATTCAAGGCCAGGCACAGCCTTCTCCCTTCTGCCCTCTACCTGCCAGGGGTCGGACAAATTCCAAAAAGGCAAACCATGCCTCTGCACTCAAACCAAGTATGGCCAAGCGAACACCTGTGCCTCAGAGTGCCAGCTGAGCTTGGCCACCGGCTGGACCTCTCGGAAACCCGGAAGGGATGCACTTTGCCCAGCTGCTGGGTAGTGGCGGTGACGCTGGATGCAAACGGTTCCTTAGACGACGGGGGAGGGGGTAAGGGGGGCGATAGGAAGGGCGGCGTTGCTGGCCCAGCGCGTCTGGAGCTGCTCAGGTCCTGTGCTCCCAGGCCCCCAACATAACTCCCCGGGATCACAGCCTGAAACCTCAGCTCCTTGGAGCCTTCCAAGACCTGAAAAGAAAATGAAATCCAAAGCGAGGAAATAACGCATCCAGGGTTATCCATCCAGGGCTGGAAGCCACGTTTCCCTGCTGTGGGGTCAACCTTCCCCGCTCCTCTTCAAGGCCACTTTAGAAGTTTCAGCTGGGTAAAGTATGCGCCAAGAAGTCAGCCGAGGTTCAGGAAAGAGGCAGGCTGAGTTGACCACGTATGTCAGAGGGCAGTGGATAAAGGGAGAACCCATGGAAATCAAGACGTGTGCGCGAAGCTTTGCTTTCTTTCCAGTCCCGCACGTCGTCCTAACCCTATCTGTAACCTGCACTCCTCCCTCATGTCGGGCACAGCTGCTCGTGGAAGCCTTGGGAAGGCCTGGCCTAGATCCAGGCTGAGGAGTGCGGAAGACCCTCTTGGGGCTGGGGGGCATAAAGGAGAGAGAATGAATAAATAGCCACTCTTAAAGTTCCCCATCTTTCTTTACTCCTCTCCATAGAGCCAATTAAATGCAATAAAATCTCGCATGGAACCCCTCTTCCTAGCAAAACGTCGCCAACAATTGCCTAAGGGGTAAACCAAATACGCCTGAGATAATTACACTAAGCCCGGGGCAATGATTTGCCTGCCAGCGTCCTGAGCGCCAGCCAATATTTGGATAGTACAGTAGTTGTTTTTTTAAAAAAATAAATTACGCGCAGAAACTTGAAACCGACTGGTTGGTGCCAGGGTAGTTACATGATCTGTTTTTCTTGAGCAAGGGTCTAGTGGCAGCTGGAGCGCGCGTTCCGGCCCCCGCCAGTGCCGCGGTGCGCCTGCACAACTTGCAGGAATTAAATCAACCTCGAGGGAAGGAGGGGGAGAGCGCACGCAGCCTCCACCGCGGCCCAAGCTCCGCTGCGGGTCCCGCGCCACGCTCAGAATCCCCCAGGATCCTCCGCGGCGGCGACAGCCAGCCCCTTCCCCAAATGCACAAGCGACCTGGGCTGGGCGTCTGCTCTCTGGGCCGCAACTGGTGCCTCGGCCGCCTGGGCCGGCTGCAGCCTCAGTGGTGGGGATCGCTTTCTACCCTTGCCAAATACCCCCTGAACGCGGAAGTGTGAGGCTCCCTATCGCAGCTGTGATGGTCGGAGTTGCGAGGAGCCCGGCCCGCTGAACGCAGTTGGCTCGCCGGGCAGAGGGCGCAGTCTGCTGCTCCCGTCCCCAGGCGCTGAATCGTGGTAGCGGCGGCGGGTCTGCAGGCTGTAACCAGCCCACTGCTTTAGCGTTCAGGGTTCGTGTTACGTGAGTAATGCTTGTCCCAAACACCCCTGAAGGGCGTCTCCCCTCGCTGGGTGCCCAGACGCCTAGGACCCCGCTTGCCCAACGGGAACGTTTCTGCAGCTGCTCCTCAAAAGGAGACTCTGCTGTTCCAGCAACCCGCAGAAGACAGGCTCTGGCGAGGTGTCAACAAAAGATCCCTTTGCCTAGGCTATATGTAGGTCGGGGCCTGAAGAGCCTGTACACGCTGGGCGCTCGGAGTAGTGGCCATAACAGAGCCCCAGGAGACCCCAGCTTCCTAGGCTGAGACAGAGCTGTTCTCGCACGACCTCGGTCAAAAGAGAAAGAGTCACCGGCTCTAGCGCGCTCTTGCTGTCGCTTTAACTGTGAGTGTCCTTGGAATTCCTCCGTGGCTTTCCAAGGCCAGAAGGCCATCCGTTAAAGTGTCTCAGCCAACCAAACATCCCGCAGAAACTCCTTTGGCGGGAAGAGCATTCCTGGCACGGAGTGACAGCTAAAGCATCCTCCTGGGAAGAGATTTCTTTTCTCCTTAAGACTCACAAAGAGGCTGTTCTTTCCCGGGATCTTCATGCTTCACTTTAACACCTGTTATCAGACATCGCCTAGCCTAGGACACACTGGCCAAACAGTACTAGCAAAAAAATCTAGCTACTGGCTAAAGATGGAAATTATGAGTCTTTCTACTCACTGCACTCCTGTAACCCGACCACGGGCAGACGTACTCCCATCATTCAGATCGCCAAAGGCCAGAAGCTGAACGCACCCCACCTGGTGTACTCAAAGGTGCAGGGAAGGGACAGCCTCCCAAGCAGCCGGCAGACCACCTTTTCTGCCTTGGAGTATAGGCACTGCAAATACAGAAATTAAAAACTGAATGAGTCATAGTGTCTGTAGGCTATTTTTCTCCTCTAATCCCAGAACTAAAAATGACCCATGAAATCTCCAACTTCAAACTAATTTTACAGATAGTGAAACTGAGGTGCAGTAGGCCATAAGAAAGTACACTTGTTTCTAAACTCTGCTTTCCCCTACTCTAAGGATGAAAGCAGTCAATACCAGAATATAACTTCAGGCTCTCCCTGAAGTAAATTGACATAGCTACTGGGTGTGTGATAGGTGTAGAGTAGGAACCTGAAAGCAAGACAGGACCTCAGGGCTTCCACTCATCCACCTTTCCCTCACAAAGGGCTTCCTGCATGGATAATTTTGACTATCACCCTCTTCCTCCATATGCCTTATCAAGACTTAGCACAACACAGACTTCATTCTAGGTGATAGGACCCCTGAGCTCCCAACTCTTCCTTCTGGACTCAGCTCAGACGTCACCACCCAAAAGAAACCCCACCTGGTCTAACCCACCTGGTCCATACACCAAACCCTTAATATTTATTCTCATTTCTTGGTGACTGTCAGCCTGCCACTAAGACCACGGTCCTAGATGGCAAATGTTATCTGGTGTCCCCCGTCCCTGACGAGGATCACGGCCTCACGTGCAGTTGGCACACAATAAAATTAGGATGAACTTGGCATTTTACGAAAACGTCTCAATCTCTCTTTCCTCCCCATTAGCTTTTCCCTCCAACCCTCGGGCCATCGGGGTTTCTCACTAAAAAAACAGCCTTCCGAACTTGGCCGGGAGCAGCTAGCCCAGGAGAAAGGGTGTGTAAAGAGAACCTCAGAGTAGGTGGAAAGAGGAAGTGTAAAAGAGGGGAGACCAGAGAGTGAGATGCTAGAAAGGAGAGCGACAAGGCAGTGTCCTGTCTCCCTCCACCGGGCAGGTTGGCCTAGATGAGGTACCGCAGCGGGAACTGCACCCGGCGCGCTGCGCTGCCCCGCCCCTCCCAGTGGGCAGCTTGTGTCCTCTGCCCCACCCTGCCGCGCCTACGGGCTACCGAGTGCTTGGTGAATACAAGGGGTGGAGGGCGCCCGAAAGTCCATGAAGGAGGGGGCGGGGGCGAGCCACCGCGCCTCTTGCCCCTTCTTCAACTAGAGACTCTGCAGCCGCGGCTGAGTCCCTCAACCTCGGTCATGTGATAGTCTCGAAAGCGCGAACGGCGGGGGTCTCGGCGTCTCGGGGACCATTACAAAACGCAGCCAGGAGAGCGCGTCGCTGCCACAGCCGCCGTCTCTCCTCGTCAAGACCAGCCCTGGAGAGCGGAGGCAGCTGCAGCGCAGGAGGCTGAGCCGACCCAGCCAGCCCGCATTCCCACCGCATTCGCATAAGCCCCCTCGTGTCCGCGGCCCTAGCCCTGAGTCCAGCGGCCCGCGTCCTGCGTCCTGCGTTCGCGACCCTCAGCAGAGCCTGCTAACGCTGCGGCTGCAGAAACCACCAAACTTTTCCACCCCCGTGCGACTGCCTAGGGCTCGGTGTCTTTTCCACCCCTGGCTCCGCTGCGAGCCACCAAAACAAAAAGGAGGTGCAGGCTGCCAGAACCAGATCTGCCTCCGCTTGTCCCGCCTTTCCAGGAAAACAGGGACTCCAGAGCGGAGTGGCTAAGTGTCTGGCGGTGAAAGTCCTGCCGTCACTGGCCTCCAGGACAGCAAGCCCAAACTCGGATTTAAAGGGTCGGTCTCGAGTGCCCGGTCTTTCTTCCTAGACAGCTTGGCCTAGGCGTCCCTCAGACCCAGAGAAAGCAAAGAGGCCGGAAGGAAGCAAGGCCCCTGGCCTCTCGCCCCTCGGCGTCAGCTCCAGCGCTCAGTTTGGAGGCAAGAAGTAGAGAAGGCTGCGGAAAACCTGGCGCGCTCCGCCCACGACCGTGCGCTCTTGTCTACGACCGTCGGAGCCAGAAATTGCCAGTGTCTGCGAGCTGAGTTAACAAAAAAGATCAGGCTCAGAGACCCCAGGCAGCTCGGAGGAGGCCAGGGAGAGAAGCCGAGAGGGCCTGGGGGGGCGAGAGAGCAGGGTGGCAGGGCTGGACGGGCAGAGTGGGAGTTAGTCCGGGGCAGACGGCCCCGGGAGCGTGGTGCCGAGCGACTCTGCGGCCCGGTTTGGGCCAGAAGGCAGTGGAGGATCAGGGAGCGATGCCGCGGCCGGGGAAAAGCTCGTACAGCGACCAAAAGCCGCCCTACTCGTACATCTCGCTGACTGCCATGGCAATCCAGCACTCGGCTGAGAAGATGCTGCCGCTGAGCGACATCTACAAGTTCATCATGGAGCGCTTCCCCTACTACCGCGAGCACACGCAACGCTGGCAGAACAGCCTACGCCACAACCTCTCCTTCAACGACTGCTTCATCAAGATTCCGCGGCGGCCCGACCAGCCTGGCAAGGGTAGCTTCTGGGCGCTGCACCCTGACTGCGGCGACATGTTCGAGAACGGCAGCTTCCTGCGGCGCCGCAAGCGCTTCAAGGTGCTGCGCGCGGACCACGCTCACCTGCATGGGGGAAGCACCAAGGGCGCGCCCGGCGCTGGTCCCGGAGGGCACCTTCATCCTCACCATCCCCACCACCCTCACCACCACCACCACCACCATCATCACGCGGCCGCTCACCACCACCATCACCACCACCCACCCCAGCCGCCGCCACCCCCTCCACCACCGCACATGGTGCCCTATTTCCATCAACAGCCTCCTCCTGCTCCGCAGCCGCCCCCGCACCTCCCGACGCAGCCTCCGCAGCAACCGCCCCAGCAATCGCAGCCTCAGCAGACGTCCCACCCTGGCAAGATGCAGGAGGCAGCGGCCGTGGCTGCGGCGGCGGCGGCGGCGGCAGCGGCAGCGGTGGGCAGCGTGGGGCGCCTGTCGCAGTTCCCACCCTACGGGCTGGGATCTGCTGCCGCTGCTGCCGCGGCGGCCGCCGCGTCCACGTCAGGCTTCAAACACCCGTTCGCCATCGAGAACATCATCGGCCGGGACTACAAGGGCGTGCTGCAGGCTGGCGGGCTGCCCTTGGCGTCGGTCATGCACCACCTGGGCTACCCGGTGCCCGGCCAGCTCGGCAACGTCGTCAGCTCCGTGTGGCCGCACGTTGGTGTTATGGATTCAGTGGCCGCGGCCGCTGCTGCTGCAGCCGCAGCCGGAGTCCCTGTAGGCCCAGAGTACGGAGCCTTCGGTGTCCCAGTCAAGGCCCTTTGCCACTCGGCAAGCCAGAGCCTGCCTGCTGTGCCGGTGCCGATCAAGCCTACGCCTGCACTGCCGCCCGTGACCGCGCTGCCGCCAGCTCTCCCCGTCCCCGCGGCCTCGCAGCAGCCGCCAGCGCCATCCTCTGTGTGCTCCGCGGCTGCGGCCTCTCCGGTCGCTTCTCTACTTGAGCCCAACGCCCAGAGCACCTCCGAGAACAAGGGTGGCTCCTTACATTCGGTGCTGGTGCACTCCTAGGGGACCCAGCGGGCGGAGGGAGACCAACGGGCGGACAGACGACTGGCCCAGGAACGCACCAACTGCCCCAGAGTCGGGCACCCTGGCGAGGATCAGCAGAGCTCGCAAGGCCGAGCCTTTGCTATAAAAGAAGATATTTAATGGGGCCCCAACAACCCCCAAAAGTGGATTCTCCAGTGGTCTGAATAAATATAACACTCCTAGTGTCTGTGTTTATACTATGTTGTACAATCAGATTAAAGAAAGCCCATTTTCAGGTAAGAGTTTCTAATTGTAATTAACATTATAAATCAGTAAGTTATGGGGGAGGGAATATAGAAGTCTAGGAAAGCCTCATTCGCTGGCAAATTGGAAGTGGATTTGGACCCTTATTCCTGGGAGCAGAAGCTGGTGGAGCTAAACCTCCCGGGAAAAAATCCAACAGAAAGTGACGCTGAAACGGATCTCAGCCACCAAGTTTCTCTGCGCTGCCCTCATCCTGAGCAGCCGCCTCTCGTGAACACGCAAGACAAACCTGCCGTCCACTTAGGAAATCTTGTTTTATTTGAGCAGGAAAAGAAAGGGTGTTTGATACTGTTTTCTCCTGGTCAGCTAAATGAGCAAGGACATGGTGTCACGAATAAAGTTGCTCGGTGAGGGGCAAGGAGGGCAGGCAGTGGAACCCCACTAAAGATCTTAGGGGAATGATTGCTTGACTCTGATCGGGGCTCAAGAAGGATAGAAGGAACCGTTAAAGCAATTAGTTTGCACAAAAGAGGACGGCAGCGGCTTAAAGAGCAAAGCCCCAGATTCCAAAAGTAAAGTTGGGAAACAACCAAAGAGAGACAATAAAGGCGACTTTCCACCTGCAACTGGTTTGTGTATCGATGGGATAAGAGACTGTTAAGGAGCCCAGTAGTACAGTGAATTCCCACGATCTGTTTCCTTTGGAGTTTTAAATGAAAAAATAATCACTGTATCACGGGATTACGATCCCCTAGCTCACGAATACAAGAAAAACGTAGCATATCGCTCAGACAGTATTGCTCTTAACGCTTTCCGGAGCGTTTCGTGGTTGTTTCCTTCCAGTCTCCTTGGACAGGAGCGAGGGGATGTCCCTGTCACCTTTGCACGCTGCGGTCGTTTTTGTATTCCGTGTGCTGTTTGGGCGCGCGTGTCTTCGTTTTCAATTCGTAAACAGGAAGGAAATTTACCTTGTCGCTATTACCCTTCCCGCTTCTGAGCCCCAGGAATCGCACTTTACTTACAACAAACTTTTAGGAACAAAGCGGGGTGGAGTGGGGAGGAATCGGCTTTGCCCTTTGCTCTAAGTCACCTCCGGCTTGTATCCACGCCGCGTTCGGGTTGTGACTTTGTCCGTGTCTGGTGGTGGTGTGCGCGGAGTTCTCCATTAAAGCTTCTCTCTGGATATACTAGCTCTGGTGTGAAATTTTGTTTCTCTAGAGGGGAGGCTGCGGTTTGAGAGTCCGCTAGTAGGTCAGGGGACTTTGTAAATCCTCTCCTCCCTTTAATTTAACTTCGGAACTACAAAGGGGGGAGTTCCCCAGTAGGAAGGCGTTTCCTCAGTTGCTCCTTTCATCCCTCCGCGCAATCATCTCCTTTTCTATTTTTATCACACTAGTTTCCCAACAGAAACTAGTTGCAGAAGTCAGCAACAGTGAGTTTTTTCTGTCACTACCATCCACTGCTTCTTTCCCTTTTCTTAAGTCCTCGACGGCGGCCCAAGTTGGGGAACTCCGTGCCGGTTGCGTGGCTGCCCGGCGGCGCCCCCTTAAGTATGAGGGGCTGGACCAGGGTGGAAAGGTCGGAGCCGGATACTGCAACTGCCGCCTTCCCCAGGCGCGCGGACCTCACCACTGCGTCCTAGAAGACAGACCGGTTGTGCGCCAGCGCCTAGCTGTGCCCTTGGCGAGCCCAGCCTGCTGGGTTGACCCCAGCTTGGAGTCTGAAGCCTCCGAGCGCCGGGTCGGTAAGAGTCCGCGGCCCAGCACCAGGACGGGAGGGAACCCGTGGGCAGCAGAGGCTGCAGAGCTGTGCGCGGAGAGGGCCAGCCAGCCCTGGCCGGTGCGAGGGACCCCAGCTGGGACTGGGAACTCCCGGCCAGTACTCCGCCCTTCGGGAGGGCTCCACTTTACATACCTTCCCTCTGTCCAGCCAGGCCCAACGAAATTCACCTCCGATTTTCATCAGAAAACAAAAAGCCACAAATGTAACCTGCACTCAGTAGTGATGGGGGGGGGGCGGGTAGGGCGGTGTTTACATCTTAAAAATAGATGTTTCCAAAAAAAAATTAGGTGTTTCCACGCTTCCCTTATTTACAAGTCCCGTTACAGCGTGCTGCCAAGTTTTGGCTTCGCCTAGGAGACACATCTGCGTTAGGTCACTGGCTCCTTGGGGCTCAACAATCCTACAGCTTGACCTTCAGTGTCTTGGGGTGGGAGGAGTCCTCTCCGTTCGTGTGGGATAGTTAGAAAGGGAAAAGAAAGAGGGCTAGGGAGACACTGACTGGAGGGTCCTAAGTTTGGGGGAACTTTGGAGTCTGGCTTCTCTGTGCACCCGTGAGTTGGTGCCTCAAGTCCAGGGCCCAGACCCTGGTCAGCGGGGTGAGTTCCTCCTTTACAAGAAGGGGGTCTCTGGATCCCAGGAATTCCTTCAAAAGATCTTACCTCTTCCTTCCCCAGCTGCTTAAAAGTTCCCCTGTGCGGGCGGCGCCTGTGGCTCAAAGGAGTAGGGCGCCCGGCCCATATACCAGAGAGGTGGTGGGTTCAAGCCTGGCCCCTGCAAAAAAAAAAAAAGTTCCCCTGTGCTCTTTTTTCCCTTTTTTTTAAACAGTTTTTTTGGCTGCGGTCAGATTTGAACCCACCACCTCTGGTTCATAGGGCTGGCTCCCTACTCCTTGAGCCACAGGTGCCTTTGAGTGGTACACAGGGCCCTACTTCCAGAAGAAGGGTCTAAAATGACTTTGGCGTCCACGGGGCTGGCCCAAGGGGGCAGCTTCTCCCTACAAGAGAGGAACCTGTGGATCCCGGGCGCTGATAAGGATGAGTAATCAACCCTCATCCTTTTCCAGAATCCTTCACGCACTGCCAAGGAACCCTTTCCACCTCAATGGGGTAAATGTGTTTTGTTTTTAATGAAACAGTAAAAAGAAAAAGAAAGGAGACAGAGAGGCAAATTTTCATCCCGGAGCAGCACCGTGGTACCCAAAGGAAGCTGTGCAGGACAGAAGACTAGAGAGCTGGGGTGGGGAGGGTTATGCAAATAAACTATAGGGGAGTGGCCTCTCTGCCCAAGCTCTGATCCCAAGGGAAGTCCTGATTCAAACCCTAGAAACTGCCCTGAGATCCTTCTTAACTAAGATGGCATCTGCTCTGTCATTGAACCATAGGTAACTGCAATATTAGAGCTTGATCCCACAAGCAACCACTGCCTGTGTTGCCAAGGGAAACCTAGCAAGGAAAAGTAGTCTTGACAGGCCTTTGGAATATCAGGACTGGGAGAATCCCATACCCAGTTCACTGCTCCTCACCAGAATCAGATTTGTATATCCAAGTGCCAAAAAACATCTTCTCAAAGACATCACAGCCAGATTCATTACTTATTTTAAAGGTGTTGATAGGATCAAGCCACTAACAAAATACTGTCCTGGTAATAATGAAAGTTTATAGAGAACCACTAAAATGGTGCGAGTAGAATAATAATTTAACAGTAATACTTTGCTGACCCTCTCAACATGAAATTATGCTCCTGGTTTCCACGATACTGGCTGTCGTTGCTAAGCCAGTATCCCACTTAATTCAATGTACAGAACCCTAAGAAAGATGGGGAGATGCAGTGAGGAGGGAGGAAAGTTTCACTGTAGATGTACTTACAGGTAGGAGGAAAACAACTTGGAGTGACCTAGTTGATTTTAGTTCCTGGGAAAGGTAAGAGGTAAGGGCCAAGGGAAGACAAAGCCATGTTAGCTAAGGTCCCAAGGAGAATAGGCCCTCCAGCAAGGGCTGGGATTGGCACAGTTGGCATCTGGCACTTAGGAAGCCTGTCAGTCAGACTAGCTTGTGGTCAATTATCTCCTTAAGTATACTGGCATTAGTCCAGCCGGGGAGGAGGACCAGTTGCATCCACAGGAATCAGAGCCAGTTAGCTGGAAGTGGCACTGCTGAATTCCAAGCATCTTTGCATTGGAGGGTTTGGAAAGCTGATCAACGCATCTCCTGGGACTCAAAGGTGACATTTGCCTGCTTGGCACTGGTACAAAAAGACTCCAGAAAAGTACAGAAATAAAATGCCTTAGGAGAAGAAATACCAATCATCAAAGCCATTGATTCTCCTCAAATTCCATTCACCTGACAAAATTGGCACTTTAATTCCATTTCATTTCAATGTTATTTCATTCTTCACTGTACCTAACTATGAAATGGGAAGAAAGAATCATTTCAAGATATGTTCAGGCTTGGATAATGTGGCAAGGGTTTGAAATGGTATTAGTGTTAACCAGAGTGTGTGTCAGTAATTCTGCATGGGCGTGAGTGCAGGGTGGAGTTGGCATTGAAAATGGAACGCTGGCTCGGCGCCTATAGCTCAACCAGCTAAGGCGCCAGCCACGTACACCTAAGGTGGCGGGTTCGAATCCCCAGCCCGGACCCGCCAAAACAACAATGACGGCTGCAACCAAAAAATAGCCGGGCGTTGTGGTGGGCGCCTGTGGTCCCAGCTACTTGGGAGGCAGAGGCAGGAGACTCGCTTGAGCCCAGGAGTTGGAGGTTGCTGTGAGCTGTGATGCCACGGCACTCTACCCAGGGGGATAGCTTGAGGCTCTGTCTCAAAAAAAAAAAAAAAGAAAATGGAACGCTAAAGACATGATTGCAAAAACCAAAAGTAACTTCTTTTGAGGGTTTAAGGGCAAAGTAGGAATGCAAGTGTAGGTGGGAAGTCCTTGAATTCCGGAGGGCAAACAGTTTATTAAAGTCCAACATTCCCATTTTGCTCTGTCAAAGTAT